CCAGCTACCTCAGTTCCTTCAGAACGAGTATTTTCCAAAGCTGGACCAATTATAAATGAACGCCGAAACAGACTCTCTGGGAAAAACCTCGACATGATTATTTTTTTTAAATAGTAATATAAATTTGTTTAATTAATATATTTGTCATTTTTGTCATACTCATAAATTATTTAACGTGTACTATTTATAAAATTAATTATTACTGAATTATAATGCACGCCAAAATGCTTATCATGTCCATACTGTCCATAGTTTCCCTCACTTGATTCAATTCATTACTTTGAGTCTCAGTCAACTATCAGACGACTGTTCATTGTATGATCAGCGATTCTTCTAGAACAGCTGAATGAATAACTTGCATTCGACTAAAATGAAAATAATTATATTTTCATTTTATTTATTCGTTTGCTTGATAAATTCAGAAATCAACGAATATTATGATAGTTATTCAAACATTCGAATACTTGACAACAATCGAATTATTCTATAGTGTTCATAACTAATCGAATATTCGAATAGTTGGTAACAACAATCGAATTATTCGAATACTTACCAACTATCGAATTATTCGATAGTTTTTATTTGATAGTGCCCATCACTAATTTCAACGCCAACTAATGTTTACGGAACATAGTTAAATTTTGCAATGTGCCCTTAAACAGTGATTATCTTGGAAACGGAGAACTTTAGAGAAGATTGGTATGTATACCAAATTTATGTAAAAATCTCTGAGAAACTGTATCAAGTTGTGTGAGTTGTAAAAATTTGAACGATGAAAAAGATATGACTACTTTAAGGAGTGTTTTTTAGAGTAGGCAGCGCCATCTGAAAGATAGATCAAAACTAATACCAAATTATTATTTATCATCTTAAAAAATGATAATGTACCAATTTTCATGTTCCTAATGTAAGAGAAAGCGAAATTATTAATGAAAAACAAAAATAAAATATTAACTTTAACCATCTGTATCTTCGTTATTATTAACAATTGTACTAAGATAAATTGGGTTAAATCGTAATAATTTAACGTAAGGAATTCTGAAGATTTTGCACCAGTAACATAATAACATTTTTGTGCTCTCTTATTTGTTTGCTAAGGTGACTTGATCCGATTAAGATAGACGAATTTTTAACATTTTCTTCTATAATTCAAGAATGGATGGAGATATCGATATGCGGTTTTCACTACTATTTAGCAAATTTTATGGTGACTAAGGATCTGTCATGTAAAGAGTACCGTTCCATTTAACTTATTTTCAAAAATCACATAAATATGTAATCGCTGCAGATAATGCCCTCTAATTTGTTTTAAACCAAACGGTCTTAAATATCATTAAAAAGAGCATAAAATGCCCTTTCAAACAACACCGAAAATATTCAAATCGGTTGAATGGTCCATGAGAAATTAAAATGTAAACATTTGAAAACAGATTGGCCTCCCCCTCCCTTATTATGACAGATATGACAAATATCGCAAAACAAAAGCGATGCGGTATTATCCAAGCTACTTAGTAATGTTGTCAAAATTATAACTCATTGTGTAACTTTCTGAGAATATGCTGAGAATAAATGGCAGTTACGTCCCCTAGCGGTCGAATTACGAACTTCAAAATAATTTCCAGCTATTTCTCTTGCCCACTTTGCCTATAAACATTTTTTTCCCAAACCTCTAGGCCTTACCGTTATCGAGATACAGCCGCTCCGTACCCTTAACGGGGCACCTGTATATGTTACTTGCAATACCCGAATTCGGAGATTATCCGAAATTTTTACCTACAACGGGTTGTGGGTAAGCACGTTAGAATTATTCGTCTCAAACATAGTGGAAGCTTGTTTGCTAATTGCAAAAAACATTATTCCATTGTTCTATTGACAATGTGTGATGCTGACTATCGCTTCACATACATAAATGTAGGTCCATGTGGACCAGATTCCGATTCTTCTATATTCCGAAATACTACGTTGTATAGGTACCAAAATGCATAACGACGAACTAAATTTGCATGTGGCTGAAGTTAGATTCATATTCGAATCTGTACCAGATTCAGATTCATAAAATTACAGTTGACCAGACAAGTATTGAACATATCAATTAAAAAATAGTTTTCTGAAATTATAGAAGTTGTAGCAATCTGCGACTATCCTGGATAATTCGAATAGACCCTCTAGTATGTTCCCTGTCTATCCTCACCCTCAGATTTGCCGTGGGGACCGAGCGGTTCCTCGTTTTCAATAGCATACTTAGATATTATTTTCTCAATAACTAGAGACTGCAGCACCCTGGGACTAGTCTAGATTATTGCATTAGGTCCTCTGGTATCCTTGTAGCCCATCAGCAATCCCAGATTTGCCGTAGGGGCCGAAGGGTGAATTTTTTAATATTACTCGTTTTCAATATCAAATTTAAACATTATTTTCTCAATAACTAGAGACTGCAGCATCCTGGGACTAGTCCAGATTATTGCATTAGGTCCTCTGGTATCCTTCTAGCACACCAGCACCCCCAGATTTGCCGTAGGGGCCGAGGGGTGAATTTTTTAATATTACTCGTTTTCAATAACAAATGTAAACGTTATTTTCTCAATAACTAGAGACTGCAGCACCCTGGGACTAGTTTAGATTATTGCATTAGGTCCTCTGGTATCCTTCTAGCCCATCAGCACCCCCAGATTTGCCGTAGGGGCCGAGGGGTGAATTTTT